TCAAAACTCTAAAAAATAAAAAGCTAATAGATAAACAAACTCTTTATATTTTTAATAGAGTACTAATATCAAGAATTGAATTTAGAATGCAATATAGTATACTATCTTGGAAGATATACAACATTTTAACAATAGTATATAAAAACTATTCAAAAATAAAACAGTATTATATTAATCAATCAATATCCAACAGTATAATATACTATTTCAAGATTTATAACTTAAAGAGTATTTGAATATTACAGAAAGAAAGTCAAATAATAGGACTGTACAATAAATTAAATGACCCAGGATTAGTTGAAACCACAATGATTATTAGACTCAAGCAAGCACAAGATAAATATTGGAAGCCTACCAATATACTTATATGTAACTTATTGAATAATCTTTCAGGAAAAGATAATTTCTTACTGCAAGTACTGAAGCTGACCAAGGATGTAAGCATGACCTTTCAAAGTTGAAAATAAAATGACATTTTTGAATGAAATCAAGAAAACAGTCCAATTAGAGAATATTTGTCCATGGAAGAATATAGAAAAGCAATCCTATCACTCAGAAACAATAAATTAATATATATAAACCAACTAGTTGATTATGAAACAAGAGAAATATGAAACTAGTAAATGCTCCAATTCTTATAGAAAATAAGCAAAGGATCCATTATAGGATAATACCTATCTATAACTGAGATAATTCAAAAAAATAAATTAAAACAGCTTATAGAATTCTGGAAAGAAGAATAAATAAAATGGAGTCTAGAACATTCTAATCTTAACTTTAACTTTGATAAATAATTAAAACTTTGAGTAAACACAAGAAGCAAATTTAAAATTGATTCTAGATAATATAAAAGATAGTTTAAAATAAAGTACTTCAAATATATTAGCCTAGTTAAAAATCAAGAATCAAAACTAATCCAGTATCAAGATTGTATAGAAGGCATAAAGATAGAAGAATAATGTATAATTGAAAAAAATATAGAAAAAATATATATGATTCCTTACCTCAATGCAAGAAAATCCATTAGAAGAGCTCAATTACAAAAAATCCCAAGTTTCAAAAAAGTATTGGAAGAAATAATATATAGAACAATATGCTGTAACTAAGTAACTACTTAGAATAAAAGAATACTACAAGTTGAAATAGTGGATTGGAAAATAAATATCATTAAAGATTATATTGAAGAAGATATCTACTAATTCCATTTAATTGAAATATTTAAATATAACAAAAAAAAAAAAGAACCAATAATTTTCTATTCTGACAGGTTCCTTATAAATCATGGAAGTATAAACATGAAAATGGAAGTAGCTTGGATATAGATAAAAAAAACAGGAAGAGAAAGCAAGTTCCAAACTGGAGTAGATGATTGCCTTCATCTACCAGAGCAGAATTAGTAATGATAGTAATCATACTACTAATAACTCTAGTAGATAGCAAGATCAAAATCTTTATAAATAGTCAAGCCTATATCTCAGAATAGAAAACTATAGAAAAAGAGGATCCCAGAATGATCTATAAAAGATGGTTAAAAAAATAAAACTGGTTCTTATAGATATGTATATTGGATCTGATAAAGAAAAGAAGCTAGATTTCAAGCTTATAAAGGTTAAGGCACATTTTAATATTTAATATAATGAAGAAACAGATATTCTTACCAAGAAGTACTAAGGTTTCCAATGATAAAATGGAAAAACTTAGTTTTACCCAAGATTATCACAGAAATTAAATAGTAAGATATAGTACTAGATATCTCCATAAGACAAGCTATTAAAAAAACAAATAATAAAGTAATAGTCTATCAATAAACAACTCAAGGTAGAACTGAAAAGAGATGGAACCAGCAAATCCAAGACCAATACAAATATATATGAAATCTAGTATGAAAATAATTTAAGAATGAATATATATGAAACATCTTCTTTAAGAGCTTACAAAACAAAAGCTTTCTCATTAAATTGATCAATAATGAGCTACTGACGTTAACTAAGCTAGCTCTAAGAAGATTGGATTTGTATAAACAAGTGAAATATATAAAGAGAAAACAATAAAACACTTGCTAGAATACCCAACTTACAAGATTCAATGGAGTGAAGCATGACAAAAAGGAATGAAAAAAGGTTTCGAAAGCTCTTAAAAGAAAGAAAAAAAGAATTCAAAGAGAAAAAGTTAAACTTAATGATAAATAATAGGATAGAAATAGGAAAAATTGACAAACAGATAGTAAAACTAATGAAAAGAATTTCAAAAATCAGTTAGGATATACTCAGCTTCTGTATGGAACTAATAGAGAAAGATCTAATTATAAGAATAGTCAATTTGAAGTGTTGCAGTAAGAGAATTGGAAAAGATAGATAATAAAAATACAGAAAAAAATACATAACCACTTCCAAAAAAAAATATAAAATATGAAATATGAAAAGGTGTTTAAGTGAGAACAAATATCAGAAATCTGCAAATATGACAAGATTAAGAAACCAGTATATCTATAAAATCAGAAAAAAAAGAATAAGAGTATAGAAAACTGATTTAGTAAAAAATTGATATATAAAAAAAAAAAAAATTGAAGACAAGAAGTTGAAAGAAATCCTACTAAATAGTATGAACTATGGTATGAAATAGTTGGGGTTTTTATCTCTGTCAAAGCTCAAAAGAATGATTTACAGTAATAATCTGTGGGCAATCATAATAGAAGTTGAAAGAGTTTATATTCAAACTTCTAATGAAATAAAAAATCACTTCCGAAATTGCACTTAGAGAGGTAAAATAATCAAAACAAGTTAGTTAAAGAATTAACTTTAATGTTTCATTTAATATATATAACTTATAAATGTTTAATAAAGTATACATAACTAACTTGACAAAGAGAAAAAAAAAATAAAAATAAAATATATTAATAATAAAAATAAATAAGTTTTTAATATTTATAATATATATTTTAATAATAAAAAAATTAATTGATTTTTAATTTTATTTATTTTTTTAATTAAATTAATTTATATATTAATTTTATTAAATCAATAAATTTAAGTAACAAGTTTTCAAATAATAAAAAAAATAATATTTATTCAAGTTAAGATCTTTTTTTTATATTAATTAGATTGAAACAATAAATGTTAGAAATTAATATAATATAAAGGTTTTTATAAATAAAGATTTAATAAATAATATAAATAAAAATAGACATGTAGGTCAATAGAACAGTGGTAGTACTTTTAAATTACAATCACAAGATTTGTAGTTCAATATCACATAAAAATTAAAAATTAAAAATTATCTTCTAATCAAGTTTTACTGATTATCCTGTGAAAGTTATATTCAATTATCTGAAACAAGATTAAGTTACAGAAAGATAGAACTTTTGATTTTTCATCAATTAGGGGCTAAGATTTATAGTCATATTATCTGAAGGATTGCATGAAGAAAAGCTTCTGGTCTAATCTATTATAGATATCCCAAGATCTTCTGTCCTGACAATCTCCAGGACTTTTACTCTCCTAGTTCAGAATATTCCAATCTGATGCTCTGCTTAATTGAAAATCAGTTAATAAGGACTGATCTGATGTCACAAGTAATAACAAAGAAGGTAATATTTCCTTTTTTGAGATTTAAGCAAATAATATCTAAAAATATTAGAGAATATAAAATATTCTATTAGATACATATGAAAAGAACTAGCTTAGTGAAACAATAACAAATAAAAATTAACAAGCTCAATACTAACTAACCTAACCATATCATTGATAACTGTGTATTAATTATATGACCTCTAGTTAGATCTGTCCACTTAAGAAGTGATAGCTGGTTTAACTAGGACAAACCAGGACAAACCATAATAAGTTATCATTAATCTGCATGCATATAGAAATATATAGTTTGTATGAGATGATTGATGTCATGCTAAGGATTTAATTATCCATCAAATATTAAGTTAATTCTTAATAAAGCTCGCATCTAATACCAGTTGCGATTAAAAAAAAAAAAAAAAAAAAAAAAAAAGATAAAAGATCACCTCTTATACTATATAAGTTTAGGAGGATCTTCACCAAAAAGAGTAACAAATTGTTTCCAAAACCAAACTTAGACTTTTTACGACTATGACAAGTTAATTATTCGCTATAAGTTTAAATCATCATTTTTGACATAATTTTCTTTCTATCGATTCTTAAGATTATTTAAATCCTCTCGAAGAAACGATTAAAATTATGTGATTTTTTTGAGACGGTTAAGAACTCGGTGATTATAAAAAGTAAGAAAGGAGGTGCAATATACAAAAAAATTTTTAAAGTTAATAATTTTCGCGATTTTTGAATGAACAAACCATGACGCTCAATGCGCATACCATACTATAATAAATGAACGTTTAAAGTTACAGTAACTGTATGCAAAGCTAATTGGTCGATTATCCTTTTTCATTTTTTTTATATACAAAAGGATCAGCGAAAAAGAAATTATTTAATTTGAATCATGCCACCTTATTCCCGCTTCATTCACTTTTATTTTGTCCAAGTGGAAAATTCTCTAGATGTTTCGACTTTCGTTATTGAAAACAGGCCTGAGTTTTAGGAATGTTGTGAAGAGTTTGATAATAACCACGAGAAGTCTCAGTACACATAAAAGTCCAGGTAGAAAACTCGTTAAGAATTTTTCAGAAATTAAAATTAAATTTGTCGTTCATGTTTTCGTGCTTTACTTTGCAAGGATCAGCCAGGTATAATTGGGAGGATCCCCTTTGTCTGGAGGAACAACTCACTGAAGAGGAGATTGCTATTAGGTAAAAATTCTTTCGTGTTCTTCCATTAAAAAAAAAAAGGGTAATTAATCGACGAATAATTTAATTAGGAACATGGCCCGAGAGTACTGTCAGGAAAAGCTTTTTCCTCGAATTTTGGAGGCATATCGTCAAGAACGTACGTCGACATTTTTCTTTTTAAACTGAACCAGTCTTAATACGCGATTTTGTTTATATTTAAGGGTTTGATCGCGAAATTGTTAGCGAAATGGGAGAATTGGGCTTACTGGGATCTACCATCAAAGGTTATGATTGTTCTGGAGTTTCTTCAGTGGCATATGGTCTCATCGCCCGCGAAGTGGAGAGGTATTTGTGTCATTCAATTCCAAATCTAATTTCGTCTTGTATATGACGCGTCAAACTCGAATGAACATTTAGAGTGGATAGCGGTTACCGGTCTGCTATGAGTGTACAGTCATCTCTTGTCATGCATCCCATAGACGCTTTTGGTACTGAGATACAAAAGAACAAATACTTGCCAAAGTTGGGTAAATCTCATATTTTTTTTCTAGCAAATCGTAAGGTCTTGCGAAATTTTCTTTTCTCATCACTATTATATATTATTATTATTATTTTAATAGCGAAAGGCGAAATTGTTGGCGCTTTTGGGCTAACTGAGCCTAATCATGGTTCTGATCCTGCTAGCATGCAAACCTCCTCATATAAACAAAATGGTGTATACATTCTAAATGGTTCAAAAACTTGGATTACAAATTCGCCTATCGCTGATATTTTTGTTGTTTGGGCAAAATCAAAGGAAGATCATAAGATTAGAGGATATATATTAGAAAAGGTAAGGCAAGTTATATTAATCCAAGGTATTTTGCTATTTATTATTATCATCAATCGAACAAAAATAATTAGGGCATGAAAGGATTGTGGGCCCCTGTAATTAAAGGCAAGTTGTCACTACGAGCTTCCATTACAGGAATGATAATGATGGATAATGTGGAGGTTCCCGAAGAAAATTTGCTTCCAAATGTAGAAGGTTTAAAGGTATTAATCATAACAAAACTTCTTAATGACGATAATACCTTTCGAATTCAAAAATTTTTTTCATTTTCTTGATACAGGGACCTTTTGGTTGTCTCAACAATGCGCGCTATGGAATTGCCTGGGGAGTACTTGGGGCTTCCGAATTTTGCTTAGCACAAGCTCGTGATTATGCACTTAACCGTAAACAATTCGGTGTACCATTGGCGAAATTTCAATTGATTCAAAAAAAGTTTGCTGACGCGAATACCGAGGTCTGTTTTTACGAAAGAATCTATCTTTATATACCGAATCATCGAACGGATAGCTAATTTCGTTTCTAAAGATCGCCCTTGGCCTTCAAGCCTGTCTTCGAGTGGGAAGATTAAAGGATGAAGGTAAAGTGGTGCCAGAAATGATTTCACTCATAAAACGAAATTCTTGCGGCAAGGCGATTGAAATTGCAAGTTCAATGAGGGAAATCCTGGGTGGCAATGGGATAAGTGATGAATATCATATAATAAGACACGAACAAAATTTGGCTACAACAAATACTTACGAGGGTAAATGCTTAAAGGTTGTCATATGGGCAAATGTTTGTTTTACTAATAATCTCTATATCTATTATGGGCCTAAAGGTACGCATGATATTCATGCACTTATATTGGGAAGAGCTATCACCGGCCTTCAGGCATTCACCGCGTCCTAAAAAGTTAATGGAATTAGAAATGGATGAATCTCGGGGTGACAAGTGGATCTAGTTCTAATTTTTATTTTAAATTCTTTTCAAAGCTTGGTTACACACTAGTTAATCATTAATTATTATTATTATTATTATTATTATTATTATTATTATTACTATCATTATCATTATTTACAAATGGATTGGATGATGTCCAATACATTGTAATATCTTAAAGTTTTCAAAAAAAGCCTTACTTATCAGGAGAACGAAGGAACATCACTATTTTTAACAAATTTCCAATCCGTTTAATGTTTGTGAAGAGTAGGATGGCTTTCCATCAAAAAGATTATTAAATTATACGCTATCTAGGAGCTAATTCTCCATTGGATTATCTAAAGGTACTCTGCAATATTCACCACTAACACTTCTTTCAAACCAAGCGGATGGTACAAATGCCAAAGGTGTAACGCATAAAGACATCAAACTAAATATAAGCATTGCACCAAGAAATCCGTTATATTCTAACAACATGCCTGCTACCACGGGTCCTACAAACATCCCAACACTATAAGCCATATTCCATAATGCGTATACTTGTCCGTACGCACCGCCACCTTTTTGGGCGACCTTTTGACCTAATAGTGGTAGTGTTGGCGTAATGATTATAGAATAAGTGATTCCGAAGAATAACAGGGGAACTATTTCTAACCAAAGTTTTTCAGGCAGCGCGGTCAATGGGGACGCCAAGGCCATACAGGCCATTCCTATGCCGATTGTGTTTCGTTGTCCGATTACATATGATATGTAGCCGACAAGTGGGGAGATGAATGTTGGTATTACCACTGAAACGTAGACGAGTCCGATCTGTGATGCATTTGCATTGAATTTTTCGCGGAGATGTATCGGAAGTGTGGGTTCTATGCCTGCGTAACATAATGTTAATGGAAAATTTTTATAACAGAAATGTAGACGGAAATTGATGACAATTACCGGAAAATACGCTAGCAGCAGTTGTGACTATCACACAGATTGTGATAACATTGTGATCTTTTATGAGACTAAATATTGAAGGGGAGTCATTCATAGATTCGTTGTTCTCATTCGAGTCCGATAGTTCTTCGTTCCTAATACTTATTGCACGGTCCCACTCTTTCAAATAAATTGGCTCCACGATGGTGCACACCGTGAGAAAGCCAATAAAGGAAAGTGCGGCACAAAAAACAAAGGGAGAAGTGTAGCCCCAATATTGATAGAGGACTCCACCAACCAAAGGACCGGTGATAAATCCTAAGGTGTTTGCGGATAGTACTGTGCCCATCACGACACCGAGCTTACGACCAGAACCAAATCGATCGGCTAACATGGCTAAACTTATTGTCCTAAGTGATCAATCGTAGTAGTTATATTAATGCAACTTCAAATTTGGAAGAACTTTGAGTTTAATACCACAGACCATGATGCACCGCCAGATGCACCCTGGGCGATTCTAGCTAGCACCAATTGCCAATATGCGGTCGAAATTCCAAATATCAATGTACAAACACCCAAACTAGCCATTCCGAATAACATTGGAATCTAGTCAAGTTTCAGAAGTGATAGAATTCTTAGCCAAAATTTAGATCATTTATTAACCAAGAAACCAAAAAATATCCAAACCTTTCGAGTATGATAGCGGTCGCTTAAAATTGCAAAAATAGGGGTTGCCGCTAACAAACCGATAGCTAAAAAAAAAAAAGGAAGATGTTAGAAGCGTCTAAAATATAGTTAGAAGATAATTGAGACTAAATTCATTACCGTAACATCCAAAAAGAAATCCTGTCGCCTTGGCATCCATACCAAGACGTTCGCGAACTAGGAGAGGCAAAATGGGGACAACAATTCCATATACTAACATATCCCTGATTTTTCACGAAGGATGAGAAAGAAGAAGGCGATGTGTATATAAAATTCATAAACAACAGGATACCACTAAATGATTTTGTTGTACTGTAATTTCGGTGATATTTCTTACGTGAAAAGTGCTATAGCTGTAACGCATATTACCGCGGTTTTAGACCTTCGAAAAATGCCGAACCAGCCATACCTCGAAAAGTCGATTGGAGACTCGACCCTGGATTCCTCTATTAGCAGGGGTGTGCTAACGCCTGAACCTATAGAATGGTTTGATTCGTATTCTTCAACTTGGTGTGTTATCATCTTTTTGGCGAATAACGGAATGACAAAATTCTCAAATTTATTAAATTTGAGGTACGTATGCAATGAAGCTAAAATGAAATCTGGAAAAGAAAGTATCGTCGTCACTCCTATCACAATCACAGCATGCTCGTTATATACGCATTTATAAAAAGTTTTTTGCGTGTAGATATGACGACATCTTATTGAGAGATGCGACACTGATTGGGTTCTCTTTTGGGTAATGTATGTATGAGCTATTGATTGATTAGTTAGGTTATTTAATCGTGATCGAAAGTTTAAAAAAGAACTTTTAATAGGTTGTTTACGGGACGTTCGTTGTATAAGGCATATTTGAATAAGAGATGATAAACGGCATATGGGTAATTATTTTCGAAAGCGGGCAGGGATTTTTCAGACCCTATAATTGTGATTCTATACGTATTATCCAAATGGGGACCGAAAAAATCATCCTGATAATAAATACAATAAATAAATATTCCGAGCATTATGTTATCTATCACAATTATTAATTTAAAACTATTACCATTATGGTTAACCGAATGCAAACTTTAATCATTATCTACCAATGTTTACTTTGAATCGATAGTGACACTTGCACGTGTCATACCCTTTTGCGTTGGCATTTCGGGCTACCCCGAGTCACATGAACCTCGCAATTTGACTAGTTAGTTCAGGAAAAAAGATTAGGTAACATTATACAGTTCGTTGCAAAAGTCATTGGACTGATATTTTTTATTATAATTTAATAAATAATTATTGAATTTGAATAAAACTTTTATCAATTATTAATCAATAATTTATTATAAAATATTAATTTGAAGTAAAAAAAAATAGGTATTATTTTATTGACAATTTTATATATAAAATTTAAATATAAAAAATAGTAAAAAATACAATTTTTACTATGATAGATTTTTATAAAAAATTATTTATAAAATCAAGAAAAAT